TTCCTATGATCTTTTGCTGTGAGGTTTTCTTCCTTTACCTTCTTTCTGTATAGATTGCCGTGTTTCTGTGTTTCTGTGTGTAACACATCTTTAAGCATCTTTTGCAGGGCTAGTCGAGTGGTGACAAATTCTTTCAATTTCTGTTTGCTATGAAAGGTCTTTGTTTCACCTTCATTCACAAATGAGAGCTTTGCAGGATATAATATTCTGGGCTGGCAGTTTTTCTCTCTTAGTACGTGGGCTATATCTCGCCATTCCCTCCTAGCCTGTAGGGTTTCTGATGAGAAGTCAACTGTGAGTCTAATTGGAGATCCTCTGAGAGTAAACTGACGTTTCTCTCTTGCACATTTTAGGATCTTTTCTTTATGTTTCACTGTAATGAGTTTGATTACAATGTGTCTTGGTGAAGATCTCTTTTGGTCATATTTATTGGGGGTCCTATGTACTTCCTGCACTTGGATGTCTCTGTCCTTCTCCAAACCTGGGAAGTTTTCTGCTGGTATCTCACTAAAAAGGCCTTCTAATCCTTTCTCCCTCTCCATGCCTTTAGGAACTCCTAGAACCCGAATGTTGAGTTTTTTTTAATAGTATCCTGTAGATTCCCAACAATATTTTTTAGATTTCTGATTTCCTCTTCTTTTCTTTGGCTTGACTGTATACTTTCCTGTACTCTGTCTTTAAGTCCAATATTCTCTCTTCTATCTAACTGATTCTGTTTTTAAGGTTCTCAAATGTGTTTGTCATTTGTTCCATTGAATTCTTCATTTCACTTTGATTTCTCTTCAATGTCTCAATTTCATGCTGTACTAAATTCCTCATTTCATTTTGATTCCTCCTTAAGATTTCATGTTCACGAGAGAGATTTTCTATCCTGTCCAGTATGGATTTCTGTAGTTCATGAATTTGTTTTTGATAACTTCTAAATGTTCTTATCATAAATTTTTTGAAATCTGTGTCTTGCATTTCTTCCAGGCATCTGTCTCATTCATGATCTCTGAATGTCAAGAATTTATATTTGCATCTCTAAAACAAGACATTATTCTTATTAAATACTCCTGCTTAGCCATTTTCCAGAATAAAGAAAATATTTCAATGAATTCTAAAGTAGGTTTTTTGGGGCCAGTGCCATGGCTCACTTGGTTAATCCTCCACCTACGGCACTGGCATCTCATATGGGCACCGGGTTTTAGTCCCAGTTGCTTCTCTTCCAGTCCAGCTCTCTGCTGTGGCCTGGGAGGGCAGTGGAGGATGGCCCAAGTGTTTGGGCTCTTGCACCCACATGGGAGACCAGGAAGAAGCACCTGGCTCCTGGCTTTGGATCAGTGCAGCAATGGCCTTAGCTGCCATTTGGAGAGTGAATCAATGGAAGGAAGACCTTTTTCTCTGTCTCTCTCTCTCTCTCTTTCTGTCTATGACTCTACCTGTCACCAAAAAAAAAAAAAAAATAGATAAAGTGGGTTTTTCACTTCCATATATGCCTGGTAAGATACAAATTTAAACTTTAAAAAAAAACTTTCTGTATTTCCATCCACCTGAAACAACAGCATAGCTAGAAAGATTTATCTGCTAATTTATTCCTCTCTTCCTGAAATAGCTAGGGCTGGGCCAGGCCAAAGCCAGGAGCCTAAGACTCCATCAGGGTCTCCCAAGTGGATGGTACTTGAGCCATCATCTGCTACATCCCAGGATCAGAAGTAGAATCTACTTCTGGATCAGAAGTAGCATAATGGGAACTCAAAATGATACTCAGGTATTCGATAGGGCATTGCAAGAGGCAGCTTAATATCTGGTCATGGCTACTTTGCCTAAATTAATAACAGCTGTGTTCAGTAATTATCTCTGCATGATTAATGTTGGTATTTTGGTTTATGACAGTAGCTTTTTAAAGAAATGATTTTCTATGAAATAAAAGCAACTATTCCTTTTTAATGTAAACTTTTATTCCTAAATAAATCGAAGTTCCCTCTTAACAATCCTTATTCAGTAGAATCTGTCTTATTTGGGTGTAGTTACCCATTGCACTAATTGATCTTGCTAATAAAAATATATCCTGGGGGCTGGTGCCATGACATAGCAAGTAAAGCTGTCACCTGCAATGCCAGCATCCCATATGGGTGCCAGTTCAAGTCCCAACTGCTCCACTTCCAATCTAGTTCTCTGCTATGGCCTGGGAAAGCAATAGAAGATAGCCCAAGTCCTTGGGCCCCTGCACCCACATGGGAGACCCAGAAGAAGCTCCTGGCTCCTGGCTTCAGATCTGCCCAGCTCTGGCCGTTGTGGCCATCTGGGAAGTGAACCAGTGGATGGAACACTTCTGTCTCTCTTTCCCCCTGCCTCTGCCTCTGCCTCTCTAACTCTGCCTTTCAAAGAAATAAATAAATCTTAAATATATATCTATATATATATATATAGATATATATTATGCTGACATGATTTCAGTCCAGCTTTATATATTTTCAAATGTTTTTATATAACTGACCCTAACTCTTTCTTTACGAAAAAAGAAATAACCACAAAGTAGTTGTCCTGACAGTAGTTCATTGCTCACAGGTGATGGTTTCCTTTTATTCTCACCCATTTCAGATTGCTAACACCCTTTTCCCAAGCTGTTGATATCCCCTTCCTAGTCCAGTACAGATGTGAAACTGTCCTCGTAGTTTTAGTGTTGAGAACCTGTTCTCTACAACCACTTTCATTCCTGTTCCTTTATTTGGCTGGGAAAGGCAGAAGTAGAGTATACAGGTTCTCCTCACTGACTCTTCAGTAGAGGAATCACACAGTAGGATGGAAGTCATAGGGGAAATACCACAATACATTGGCATAGACAGATACTTCTTGGGTAAGACTCCAGAAGCACAGTGTAAAGGCAAAATAGATGAATGGGATTACATCAAGATAAGCAAAGGAAACACTCAACAAAGTGAAGAGGCAACTACAGAATGGGAGAAAATATTTGCAAAGTGGTAAAGGATTAATATCCAGAATATGTGAAGAACTCAAGAAACTCAAAATCACAGAACAAACAATCCAGTTAAGAAATGGGCTAATTGGGCCGGTGCTTTTGGTGTATCAGGTAAAGCCATCATCTATGGTGCTGGCTGCTCCACTTCCAATCCAACTCCCTGCTAATGTGCCTGGGAAATCAGCAAAGGATGACCTAAGTGCTTGGGCCCATGCACTCACTTGGGAGACCCACAAGAAGCTGCTAGCTCCTAGCTTCTGGCTTCAGACCCACCCATCTTTGGCCATAGCAGACGTTTGGGTAGTGAACCAAAAGATGGAAGATCTCTCTCTCTCTCTCTCTCTCTCTCTCTCTAACTGTGCCTTTCACAAAAATAAATAAATCTTTAAAAAAAAAATGGGTTAAGGATATTAACAGGCATTTTTCAAAGGATAAAATACAAATAGCTAACAAGCTAACAGACACATGAAAAGATATTCAGCATCACTAGCCACCAGGGAAATACAAATAAAACCATAAATGAGATTTCAGCTTACCTCTGTTAGAATGGCTATCTTCCAAAAAAAATAAATAAATAAAAAATGCTTCTAAGGATGTGGAGGAAAAGGTACCCTAATACACTGTTGGTAGGAATATAACATAGAACAACCATTATGGAAGACAGTCTGGAGATTTCTCAGAAATCTGAAAATAGATCTACCATATAACCTGGCCATTTCACTCCTGGGAATTTACCCAAAGGACATGAAAATAGCATATGAAAGATTTATCTGAACCCCTATGTTTCTAGCAGCTCCACTCACAATAGCTAAGATATGGAATCAACCCAAATGTCTAGCGGCTAATGACTGGATAAAGAAATTTTGGTATATATGCGTGAACTACTCAGCCATAAAAAATAATGAAATGCTATCTTTCACAACAGAATGGATGCAGTTGTAAACCATTATGCTTAGTGAAATGAGCCAGTTCCAAAAAACATTAATATCATATGTTATCCCTCATTTCTGGTAACTAATGTACAGAGTACAAAAAAAGTATATGAGTGAAAGTGAAATTTTGAAGTTTGATTCTTGTTTATAGCCCTTACTGTACTCTTGAGGTACAGTGGTTTTTGTACTTACTACTTGGTGAATTCTTTATTTGAGGATTAAGCTTGTGATGATAAAGTAAATTGAAAGTATGTCATTGTAAAAATTAAAGGAAGAAAGAAGGAAGGAGAGAGGGTTAGGATGGGAAGTATCATTATGCTCTTAAAACTGTATATATGAAATACATGAGATTAGTTCCCTTTGTATAAGTGAAGAAATTGTGAGAAAACTGCCAAGGCCTGTAGTGTAACTCTTCACACTTATATCTGTTCCCAAGCACAGATTTCCTAATGATTATAGGGATTTGCCAAGAACCTCTCACAGTTGCAGAGAGGAGCAATCAGCAGTCACATGAATCGCATGTCCATAGGCATTTTACCAATAAAATGCAGTTTAGTTCAATTGATTTATTTTCATCCTGATGTACCTTCTTGTCATTAAAATAACATTTATTCCTTAAGAACTAGGAAAATAACAATTGACTAAATTTCCTAAAAGAACTCATATGTTACTCTGACAGTTCTGTGAGTTTTGTGAAATTAGTGAGGATAGGTTTTATAAATAAAAGGGGTTTATTTTTATATATTTATGTATATATGAATATATTTGCACACACATGTACTTCTAAAATACTCAGTTTCTAAACTCATAATTTTAGTTTGGATTAGGTATATAAACTGAAGTATCGGAAAACTTATTTTTATATGCATAATTTTATTTGCTGTCTTATATATTTCAGTGTTTATCATTTTTCATTGGTACCTGAAAGCTTTAGATGGGGCTTTTCATCTGTAGAGGTAGTGGTAGTTGCTACTGCTTTATTTTTTTGAACTGCTGTAAATATATTTCAGTGTTTTTGAGATCCTGAAAAGAACTATGTAAAACTGAGGTGACAGTGTTAGTAAAAAAATATCTTGAAACAAATAATTCCCTTTCTTGTTTTCTAGCTACTACAATTTGGGTGATGTGAGCCATGATTCTGTGAACAAGTTTCTGTCCCATCTTATTGAGAAGTCCCTGATTGAGTTGGAACTCTCCTACTGCATTGAAATTGGAGAGGTATGACTGAGTCTTGTGCATTCCAATTGAAATGATTGCCCAGCTTCTTAGCATTGTTAGGCTTTTGCTTCTAGTGATACTGAGATTCTTAACAAAATTGTTCCTATAGCAACCTATACTTTGAATTATTAATTTTATGAAGCTATATACTTCAGTTGTGCTTTCTATATATGTTACTTTTTTTTATTTTCAAATAGGATAATCGGAGTATTGAACCTCTGACATATGGCAGAATTGCCTCCTATTACTATCTGAAGCATCAAACAGTTAAAATGTTCAAGGATCGTTTGAAACCTGAATGCAGTACTGAAGAATTGCTTTCAATTCTGAGTGTAAGTTTCACAATGTTATTGCATTGATTTTGAACATAAAGAGATTATCTTATATATATATATTTCATATCTTCTCTTTTAATTTATGTCTTAAATTGTTGCCATTCCATTCTTCTTGAAATTGGAGACAGTTTGTAAAGTCCTTCCATCTGTCAGGATCACCACAAAGTAACATCTGGACTAAGTTCCTCCTGGAACTTAGATTCTTCTAAGAGTGGAATGAGGCACTTTTGATATTTAGTCAAAATAATAGGTAGAAACTGGACTGTCCTGAGCGAACCAGATGACCACCCTGTCATAGCTGCGGTAACCTATTTGGATTATGAGTGAAAAGCTTTTTTTATTCCTTCTGTTGGATGGTTCTTGCTGAATACTTATCCATGTGACAAGTTTCTTTACATAAAGATCCTTAGGATTAAATTCTCTTGGAATTAATGAATGCCTGGAAAGCTGTTTAACACCCTCTCCCCTATGCATACCCCTTCGGGAGGCATAGGGAACTACCTTATTAAGTTCATTTTTCCTTTTTTGCCAGGAGCTAGACTTTGTATTGAAATTGAAATTGAAATTGAAATTACTATTAGGAATATCTTCTCTACCTTCCTTTCTGTATACTATATACTTCGGGCTTTTTGCTTATTTTGTCAAGGTTAGTTGTAATAATTGAGTTTGAAACTTCCATGATATATTAGTTATTATATCCATATAACTTGACTGTAATATCCTGATTATGTGTTGATGCTTTGATAAAAGGTTAAGAACCATAGGATTATGTTGTCTTTAAAAGGTCATTCTCTTATAAATTCCCTGATTTGTTGTAGTTTATTTGCCAGCTTTTATCCTTCTGCTCCTATTGGTTTATCATTCTCAGCAAGGTTCCTTATCACAGTCATAGTTTCTGAATTTCAGTTTCTCATTTTTTCCTTCAAAAAGCTAATGTATAAATTCTGAGCTCAGCATACAGCCATGTACGTTGCAGCAAATCAGAAAATGTTTGTTAATGAATTAATGGATGGAGGGATGGATGGTTAGGTCTATATTAATCAGTTATGTATTGTTTGTAGAATATGGAATTAAAGTATGCAAAGCTCCTCATATTTCTTTGCATTTTAAATTCATAGAGAAACTAAAAATTAATTTCTGAGGCAAGAGTATAAAAAATAAGAAGATAGCTATTATTTGGCCTGGTGTTAAGATGGCAGTTGGGATCTTTGCACCACATTTCAAAGTGCCTGGGTTTTGGAAGCCCAACTCCACTTCTGATTCTGTTTGCTGCTAATGTGCACCCTGGGAGGCAGCAAATGATGGCTCAAGTACTTGGACCACTGCCACCCATGTGGAAGGCCTGTATTGGGTTCCTATCCCCCTGTTTTGGCCTGGCTCAGCCTGGATTGTTGTAGGCATTTGGGGAGAAAACCAGCAGATGAGAGCTTTCTCTATGTGTCTTTTTCTCTTTCTGTATGTCTCTCTCTCTCTCTCTCTCTCTCTGTCCCTACCAAATAAATCTTTAAAAATTTAAAGAAATACAGTTTTTAAATGAAGCTTTTAAAACATTATTTGAAAGGCAGGAGAGAAAGAGAGAGAGAATCTTCCATCTGTTCTTTCACTCCCCAGATGCTCACAGCATACAGGGCTGGGCCAGACAAAAGTCTCCCATGTGGGTGGCAGGGATTCAACTACTTGAGCTTTCATGTGGCCTCCCAAGGTATACATTAACAGGGAACTGGAACGCATAGCACATTCAGGATTCTAACCCAGACCGATAGGGTATGCGACTGTCCAGCGTAGCAGCTTAACTTGCTGCTCTAGACATGCCCCTAAAGAATTTTTTCTCACACCCCTAAGAATGAGATTCATATCATCTCCTAGATAAAGAATCCTAGGATTTCTCTGGAGGATGGACTGATTTGTTTGTACAGGAAATAAAATAATTTATAAATGAAAATTAAAAAATTGTGGCATGTATGTTAAACTAGTAGCCTAGATTAAAAATCCTTTTTTTTTTCAAATTTACTAACTTGATATACTTAATATGATAATAAAGTACCATTTAAAAAATAGATTGATTTATTTATTTTGGAAGAGAGAAAGAGAGAAATCTTCATCTGCTGGTTCTCTCCACAGATGGTCACAATTGTCAGTGCTGAGCCAGGCCGAAGCCAGGAGACAGAGGTTCATCTTTGGGTCTCTGACATGGGTAGCAGGGGCCCAAGCACTTGGGACATCCTCTGCTGCTTTTTTCCCCAGATCATTTAAGTCAAAATAATAGCAGGGAACTGGATCAGAAGTAGAGCCACAGGGACACAACAGCACCCAAATGGGATGCTGGTGTCACAGGTGCCTGCTTTACCCACTGTGCTGCAACATTGGCCCCAGAAAAGTACCCTACCACCCTGAGAACCATTTTCATAGTTGCTAGTACTTTTGAGAAATTTTCATGTGCCAGGCAGTAATCTAAAAACTTTACATTCAGGACTGGTGCTGTGGCCGTCTGCAGCACCAGCATCCCATATGGACGCAGGTTCAAGTCCTAGCTGCTCCGCTTCCAATCCAGCTCCCTGCTAATGCACCTGAGAAGGCAGCAGAGGATGGCCCAGGTCCTTGTGCCCCTGCACCCACATAGGAGACCTGGAGGAAGCTCCTGGCTCCTGGCTCCTGGCCTCAGCCTGGCCCAGCCCCCGCCATTGGCACCATTTGGGGAATGAACCAGCCGACGGGAAGATTCCTCTGTCTCTCCTCTCTCTCTCTCTAACTCAAACTTTCAAATAAATAAATAAATATTAAAAAATAACTTTACACTGATAAACTCATTCAATCCTCACAGCAACCACTCAATTCCCATCATACCTCCCATTTTACACATTGGATGGGAGGTACAGCATAACTTAAGGCTATTTATAGAATGTGTAAGGTGAAAATCTTGTGCTGCTACATTCCACATTCCCATTCACTGCACTAAAAAAAGCAGAAAATATATATAGTAGTCCAGCTTGTTCATGGTTTTGATTTCTGTAGTTTCAGTTACCTGTAGTCAACTTCAATATGAAAAATTAGTATTTGTCTTGACTCTTTCAAGACAAATCACATTCATATAAGTTCTATTAAATTATTTTGTTATAATTGTTCTATTTTAATGTTATTGTTCACCTTTTGCTATATGTAATTATAAACATGATTTTATCATAGCTATATCATCTTTCTACTTATAGACTATCAAAAAAAATTTGTGTGCCTGCACTTTGTGAGATACTTGCTAAAGGACAGAATATAGAAAAGTGAACATTACTGACAAACTTTCTATATGGATATGTGGGCGGGCAGGTGGATGTATAGTGTGAGCGTTGATACTTAGAGAAACTATGGGCCGTGACAATAAACCACGAAAGATGACTGCAGTCATCAGCTTAGTGTATGCTCTAAGAATGTCACCATAATGTTGCGCATCAATCAAAAAAAACTATCTAAAAACAGCAGAACATGACATTCTGTCCTTCATGTTCATCTTCCTTACTGGAGAGATTCGTCATGTAGCCTCACATCAAAAGGACATGAGGGAGAAAGTTTGGGCTCAAAATGCAGTACTCAAATGATATAAGACATGTCCCTGGGCCATGTTAGTGTAGAAAACACAAAGACTTTGAATCAGTGTAAGCAAAATTAGAGCTGTAAACCATGTGAATAAAAGCTCTCTTTGTGTGTTGAACACAATAGCTTTATAGCAATTAATAAGAAATCCAGCTCACCCTGCAAATAATAAAACACGGGATGTATTGCCTCAATTGATGGATATAACATGGGCCAAAGTTTACAAATGCAAATAGGCCTGGAATAAATTTTTCAAAAGCAACTAAAGAGGTAGGCATGCAGTACAGTGGTTTAAGTTGTCGTTTGGAACTCCTGTATCTCCTATGGAAATGCCTGGTTCCAGTCCCTGCTGCTCTGCTTTGATCCAGCTTCCTGATATTGCACTACTCCCTTGGTGGCTTGTTTCCATGTCACCCACATGGGAGACCTGGATGGCATTCCAGGCTTTGGCCTAGTCCAACCATACTGTTGTGAGCATTTGAGTAGTGAAGCAGCAAATGGAAGATTTCCTCTCCCTCCCCCCTTGCCCTTTCTCCCTCCCCCTCACAGTCCCCCTCCCTCCTTTCCCTCTCAGTTTTTCCCTCTCCTTCTCCTCATCTGGCTTTCAAATAAAAAAATATAATAATTTTTTAAAAATGTCTTTTAAAAAAAAGCTGCTAAAGAACTCAAAGAGAACGTAGAATGGTACCTCCATGTTTGGTGTAATAGATAATGTTCATTCCTTTACAGACAAGGGGAGGGAGAGATCAGCATTGGATGTGCCCACTATTTGCATGTGTTTTTATTTCTCTTGGCCCTCTGTGTACTATAGGAATGTTTTTATCCTGAAAAATATTGTGCTCTTTTTTGGTAATCTGTTATACTTTCAGGTATTAATTATGGTTGATTATTTCACTATTATATGAAAGTCTTTATTGGAGTCAACACTGAGAAAGAAAATAAACTTCCATTAATGATTTCTTTTATAACATCTCTTAAGACTTCTGTTCATTTACTCTTCTTTCTTATAAGTTGAACTGTTTCTAGCATACATATATAGTTATCATTGTCTTGAAATAATAATAAAATATTCTAGATAGAAAACCAAGAATCTATTAAGCGTAATTTTTTTTAACTTTTATTTAATGAATATAAATTTCCAAAGTACGACTTATGGATTACAATGGCTTCCCCCCCATACCGTCCCTCCCACCCACATCCCTCCCCTTTCCCACTCCCTCTCCCCTTCCATTCACATCAAGATTCATTTTCGATTATCTTAATATACAGAAGATCAGCTTAGTATACATTAAGTAAGGATTTCAACAGTTTGCTCCCACACAGAAACATAAAGTGAAAAATAATAGATGATTTTTTTAAATGATGATGAAATCAGATCAGACCTATTGTCATGTTTAATCCCAGTGAGAGTCAAG